ACTAAAAAACCCTAAGGATACCATCTGGTGCTAGTGTTCTACGAAAATGAAATTAAGAAAGTCGTGTGGCTGACAAGGAATAATATTGGTTTCTGTACAGTGGGGTGAGGAGATCAGCAAATGCTATGGATGATGTGTTAGCCAAACAAGGGGTAAATAGGGAAGAAATGTTTTGGGCTCAACTGTGAGTTCTGTAATTTATTTTAGTGTACTTGTAAGCTTCTATGAGGGGCTGCAGCTCACGCCTCTCCATGAGTTGTTGTACAAAATTACAATTCTAAATCAGGTTATGAATTAATAAAATTGTACTATTACTCATCAAAAAAAGGAGGAATACAGCTCTCCTAGGGAAATGGATGTGGAGAATGCCGCTAGATAGGGATAAATTGTAAGCAAAAGTGATAGTAAGCATTCATGGGCTCTCCTTGGAAAGCCATCAATGTAGTACTACCACTCTTTTCTCCTTTCATCAGATACAATCTTTGTAGTGGTAACAAAGTTAATTTTTGGGGCCATATTTGGTTGGGATCCTCCTCATTGAAGGAACAATTTCCATTGCACTTTCTTGCTCCAAAAATGAGACCATTTCTAAATTCCTGGTTCCTTCAAATTCAAGTAATGGATTCAACTAGGATTGGGGATTCCAGAGAGGAATAAGAGACTCTAATATCAAGAATGTACTCACCTTACTACAAACATTGGAAGATGTGTTTCTTGATCCCTCTAAGCTAGATAACCAAATTTGGACTTGTACCCCTATGGGCTCCTCTTGTTCCTCCTCCTTCAAAGCTTTGTCCCAACCCTCCTCTAGCTCTTTGCCTTGTTTTCCAATCAAGGAGGTTTGGTGTAAGCCCATTCCTACTACAATTGGCGCTTTCTGTTGGGGAGTTGTTCATGAAAAGATTAATACTTGTGACTTACTCCAAAGAAAATGACCAAATTGGTGCTTATCCCCCCATTGGTGTACCCTGTACAAGGCCAATGGTGAGAGCTTCTATCACTTGCTTATCTCTTGCTCATTTACTTCTTTTATTTGGGATTGGTCTCTCACCTTGTTTGGATGCAAGTGGCTCCCTCCAACGAATGTTCAAAGCTTATTGGCTCCTTTCTTCAATTGGCCAAGAAAAGGAGAAGAATTATGTGGAGATGCTTAAGAGCAACAATATTATGGATAATCTACTGATCAAAAAAAATATATTATGGACAATCTGGGAAGAAAGGAACTCTAGAATTTTTCTAGAGAAGGAGAGAAGAAAGGAAGAATTAATGGATTTAATCCTTTTTAGAGTGCTACCAATGATTTAAAAGGCGCGCTCACAGGCGAGGTGCATTTTGGGGTATGCGCCTCGCCCAAGTCCTAGGCGCACCCCTTTGAAAAGGCGCACGCCTAGTGCGCCTTGCGCCTAGGTGTGCGCCTGATGCGCCTTGCGCTTCAGCTCAGGCGTGCGCCTTTTTAAAATTTTGCACTTTTTGCTATTTTTTGAGTCTAATGGTTGGGTCGAGAGACCCTAACATAGATTTGTTCGAGCTTGCCTCGAGGGGTGTGGTACAAAGGTGACTCATAGAATCAAGAATGCAATATATTTTACATCACATTAGCTACTTGAAGCAATGTAATTAAGGAAAAAAAGATATTATGAGTTTTACATGCTTGAAAATGCTTTATATGTTTGCTTTTATTTTTAAATTTTCACTTGAATACACTTTACATGTTATGTTTATGTATTTTAATTTTAGATAATAGGCTTTTTTAAACATTTACTTTAAAATTTAAGTTTATATCTTTATTAACATTATGTTTAATATTTTTTGAATTTTTTTGCATTTTAAAAAAATGGCATTTTTTTGAATTTTTTTGCATTTTAAAAAAATGGCATTTTTTTGAATTTTCTGACTTTTTATTTTTTAGCTTTTTTTGTAATTTTGTGCCTTGCTTAAAAAGGTGTGCACCTCGCGTTGCGCCTTGTGCCTCAAGCGCAAATTGGCCCTTGCGCTTTTAAAACACTGAGCAATACATTGGCTGAAATCCTTTAGAAAGTGGAAGGAAGTAGCTGGTTCATGCTCAACTAAACCCATCACCAATTTTTTCTGGTCTCCTCCGGAAAGAGGGTTTACTAAACAAAATTTTGATGGCAGCAGCTTGGGAAACCCAGGTTTATCAGGTATTGGTGGGGTGTTTAGAGATGAGGAGGACAAAATCCTAGCTCTCTACTTGGGACCAGAAGGGGAAGGGGACTTCCTTAGAGCAGAAGTATTGGCACTGATTGAAGCCATTCAAAGAGCAAAAGACCTGAACATTAGAAACCTGATTGTTGAGGGAGATTCCAAACTGAAAGTAAACTTTTTATAAGGAGAAGATTCAAAATTCTGGATCTATAGCAATGAAAAGAAGAAAGTAAGGTGGTTGACAAGAGATATGGAAATCTCCTTCAATTGGGTTAAACGTTGTGCTAACTCATTAACTGATGTATTAGAAAAACAAGGGGTGGGGAGAGAATCTTTTTTCCGGGCACTCTTGTTATTGAAGGAAAGCTGGGGGAGAGATAAGAGGTTTTATCTCTCATTGACTGAATCTTCTTTCTCTTGTAATTTTATCTTGTACACTTTTGATCTATTAATGAATTGAAATATTGCAGTTCTTGATAAAAAAATTGCTCTTAACCCTATTGAGACATGCAACTACCACAGACTCCTACATTTTTCTTTTCATTTATTATAACAGTTCTGACTTTTATAGGTGATAATAAAGAAAAATAATAGAAAGTTCAATTTGCTTCAATACAATAATAGAAAGTTCAGTTGACCAACTCTTAGAAGTTCTGTTACATTTCTCCCCATGATGTATCCACCACCAGAACATCCTCAATGTGCCTTCCTTTACCAAGCCATCTACTAGCCCATTGGCAGACTGTGGTACCCATTTAACAGTTACTCTCAAGTCCTTCGTAATCTCTATCATTTCCCTGATTGCATATCTATGCCTCCAAAGAAAATGAAAGAGACTATAGATCTCTTTCCTTTCAACTTAGAAGGAGAATGTTATGATCTTGCATCAGAAAAGTAGGACAATCAACAGAATTAGACAAAACAAACAACAAAACCACATGCTAGATCCTACACACCTCACAAGCTCATCAGACATCAAGAAGTATGCTGGTAAATCTTTAACTCCATCTGGAATCACAGCTCAACTCAACTCAACTAAACCTTGTCCCAAACTATATGAGGCTGGCTACATGAGCCCTGTTCTGCCATTCTCTCCATCTGGAATAACATAAAATCCCACAGATATAGAGAGAAAGAGATCACAATCATACTTTCTAAAAGCTCCAGGATACATTTTTTTCACCTTTGAGACCACAACAATCGGTTATTGATACTTTTTTCCCTTAAAGAATGCTCTAGGATAACCCCCACTCTTACAAATCTAGTTGGAAAGTAACTACAGTAACTCTATAGTTTATTATATTCATCTATTTTGAAGGTGGTTTTCTTTTTTTTTTTTTTTTGATAAATAGGTTGGTTTCTTTTTTTTTGAAGGTAAGAAAACATTGTATTAAAAACAATAGAAAGAATCAGTGTGTAAAAGTAAACCCCCACCCATGTACATCATAATGCCATGTATGGAGCAAAGCAAAAGACAATCATGATTACAAGATAGAAAATCAAGTAATCGACTATAACCAAATAAGGTATCATAGTAAAAAAAAAAGAGAGAGAGAGAGAGAGAGAGATTTTACTCCCTGAAGTCCTTATGTGCAGAGGAGACCATTCCCATCACATTTCTGTGGACTCAATCAGAATATTAGCTTTTTCTCTGAAAAGTTCTATAGTTTCCTTCACTCCAAAAAAGCCCACATGAAAGCCAAAGGAAAAGTCTTCCAAATGATATGTACTCTTTTACTTAAACCTTTGGGCCTCCAACCAAAGAAAAATTACAAACAGTCAAGGGGACACAAACACACATAATGAGGTCTAAAGAAGACCCACAATATAGATAGGAACAAACAAAAAGGCCCCACTACAGAAAGGGAAAATACAATAAAAACATAAAACCATGGCCCCTATGCGGCTATGCCAATGAGTAAGTTGTGCTAGTATATTGAATTTGAGACCAATTTATAAGTTCTCTTATCATTAGAGCATCGACTATATTAATGCTTAATGGCATCAAACACCTCTTACCTCAATCATATCCAAACTCTGTTCTGAAATTTTAAACTTGAAAGATCTTCCATTGTCAAAACACCATATAGGTTTCAGGTTACACAAGACCAGACTATTTTATTTCTTGTCTGCAAGTAAGGTAACTGCATTTTCATCAAAATATCCTCACCTCAAATGATACGTCTACTTTTCATCAATCAAGAGAAAATTACGATATTACCTATTCATACTTTTAATTATTGTAACCTTCCTTTCCTTCTTGCTCCCTAGTTTCCTCAGCTACAACTTTCATGTAAATGACTTAAAAACTAGAAACTTATTCCCCAAAAGCACAATTCGTGGAGCCTTGTAAGCACCACTGTTAATGTCTATGCTCTTAATTTGCAAACTCCACTCTTGGTAAAATATACTCTATCGAGCTGAACGCTAATAATAGCATAAGAGATTCTTAATGGGAGATATTGGATGACGTTCATGTAGCCCAACTCTATAAAGATATCAAAGTTTTCAATTGAGGGACAACGAATCCTAACGAGCAGAGTTAGAGACAAAATGAACGCCAAAAGCAGAAAATTAAAAAAAAAAAAAAGATTTTATTTCCTTCCGCCAATGTATAAATTAAATATTTAACAGTAAACAGCAACATTGGATGCACCTTCCGAAGAAAAACAGGAGGATCAGAAAAGGATCCCGCCAATATCAGCCCAAAAGAGTCAAAAAGAGACCCGAATTTTTCAAAATGAATCAAAAAGGAAGATGAAATCTTTTGAGTTCGGTAGTTAATCTAACGGGACACCGACTAGTAATAACGATTAAAATTTCCAGAGCCTCACCTTTGGATCGTCTTCCTTCTTCTGCAAAAGCTGATTCAAGACATCGATGCATTCCGCAAATCTCCGCGATTGAAACAACAAAGAAGCCTCCTTGGCGAGCCCGGCCGTGACAGAAAGAAGACCATCTTCATCTGCCGAAGAACCATCCCTACTTACAGCAGCCGACGACGATAAATCTCGCGTATCCATTCCCAGATCGAACAAGCTACGATCAAAAAACAGGACTTGAAAGCCAAAACCCCTGATTTATCTTCTCGAATCTAGTCCAGATGGCGTCAAACCCGCTTCCGCCTCTGTACAGAGTGTCGAAGGGTTTCCTCTTCCATCCCAGGCTCGAAATGAAGCAGATTAGACTACTGAGACGCTAGGGTTTCAAATAATCTTGTCCTCAGATACCTCCGATTTGCAGTGACATAGAAAGCGATGGGCTGAGCCCTACTAGGGATTAGATTGAGCGAAGGAGAGAGAGCGAGAAGAGTAATCGGAATTAGAAAGAGAAGAAGAGAGGTTTTCCGCTTTTAGACTTTTCCTTTCTGCTCGTTGGGTTTCGGTCTCAAGTTTTGAGTTTCTGATGATTTCAGTGGATCAGCAGTGAAAGAAGTACTCTTGGACCTTAAAAACCGGATGGAGCCACTTGGGTTCGACCCCTTCCGCTCCTGGTTCGGGCCACATGAGCTCTCGTTAGTCGTTATGCCATGGACCAACCCCAACCAGGTTCTACGCAACGGATTGACAGAATCACAGAGCTCAACGACCTTCAGGTACCCGCTCATTATCAATTGATGACTTCTTGCTACCTGGAAGTGGAGCTGCAAGCGGATGCGGATGGAATCGAATCGGATATTCCAAGATCCAAATCCGATTCATTATACTCGGATACGAAGAGGAATGTATATCATGAACCCAAAAAAAAAAAGACTGAATACAAATTTGAAGAGTTCAGATCTGCTATCAAGTATCAATTGGACGCTACTAACATGGTGTACATTGGGAATACCTGTCTATGAATGATAAGGGAGATGTACTTAATGCACGGTTGCAATGGTTTATTGGGATAGTATTGGAAGCAATTTGTTCTCTCCGCCCAAATTTGAAGTATATATATAATTGAATATAATTGGTTTATATTAGATTGGATAGAAGTGGTCCAATCACCATTAAATGAATTGAATTTAAATTTAGACAAACAAATACCATTCCAGTTGTAGCCTATTAGGAAGTGCTCAACTTAAGAAGCTTACATTACAGCTTCAAAGTATCATAAAAGCAACTTACATGTTGGGATACACTTTGGATTCATATGGATATAGAGAAAAAAAAAAAAAGTAACGATACAAAAACTCAAATGAATTCCAAAAATATATTAATAAAATTAAATGTACACCTCAAATGACTAAAAAGAAGGCATGTGCATATAAAAAATATGTTTTGATAGTTTATGCTAAGTGCAAATTATTAGGATATGCTAGGAAGCATTAAGAAATGCTATAATAATTATATATATAATATCATAGTTCAAGTTTAAAATAGGCAAGTACAGGTATCGTCTTGTAACAAACATGGTTTTGAAAATTGGATTGGACAGTCGGACCATTTGACCTAGGTATTGGTCATGGCTCCAGGTCTGGTTTTTGAACCCAAAAACCATTTGACTAAGGTTTGAACCACAAAATCTGACCATATAACCTCTGAACCAAAGGCCCAAATAGTTTCATTTTTTTTTTTGTGAAATTGTCTAAAACTCACCCCGAGTTTCAGCATTTCTCTTTAACTAACTCACCACAAGTTTTCAAAATGTCTAAAACTCACCATGTCACTAACTTGACGTTAAACAAACTAACGGATGCTAATATATTACCATTTTAACCTTCATAGTAGAAAGGTTCAACAAATATTTTCAAATATAAAATACATAAAAACATAGAAATTTCAAAAAAGATAAATAATTATAGAAATTGCGAACAAAATAAAAGATTATTTTCAAATTATAAAAACTATAGAAATTGAAAAACAAAACCAGAAAATAAAAATTGTAGAAAAAACACCAAAAATTATAGAAAAAACACAAAAATTGCAAATAAATAACAAAAAATACAGAAAAGTTTAAAGACTATAGAAAATAGAAAAATTATAAAAAAAAAAAATTATAAAAAACATTGGAAATTATAACAAAATACTAAAAATGCAAAAAAAAAAACATGAAAATTGAATATCGAAAAAGACCCTTTTCCTCTAACTCACCATCCAAGGGTAATTTGGTCATGAAAATTGTTATTTATGCCGATGTGGACATCTCTGTTAAGAAGCATTAACAGTGCAATAACGGAAGGTAAGCTTTGGAAAATAAAAACTTATTGACATGATGAGTTTTAGACACTAGTAATTAAGCACGTGCCTTGCACATATGATTTTTTTTCATATTAATTACTTGGATTTTAGATATATCATAGTTATTATAGAAACTGAAAATTAATAAAAGTAACAATATGGTTAAAAGTAAACTTAAATACTTGTACTAAATGTGCACCTATAGAAGTTTTAAATTACAATAACAATTATTATTATTATTATTATTATTATTAATATTATTATTATTATTGTTGTTGTTGTTGTTGTTGTTGTTGTTGTTGTTGTTATTATTATTATTTTGTATTCCATTTTTGTCTTAATAAAAATAATTTATATTTTAACATTTATTTTTATTTAATATGATGATTATATAACATTAGAAATGTTCCAAAATGTCTTTGACAAAACTTTATACTTTTTTACCTTTTGTGTTCTATCTTTTTTTAAATATTTATTATTCAATTATGACATCAATAATTTCTTTGAAAAGTTGGACCGTTGACCCACCATTTAAATAAAAAAATAGCTTTACTTTCGGATCAATTTTAAATTATATATTTCATCTGTATTATATACATAATTTGTACTTATTACACTTAATTTTTGCTTGACATAATTAATATATAATTTTTTATACGCTCTTTTGATTACCCATGTTTTTTTATTATTTTAAATATTTATTATTTAACTATTATATCATCGATTAATCCATTTGACCCAAACCACTAACCAATGACCCAAAAAGAAAAATAGTTTGATTTATAGGTTGACATTAAATTTTGTATTACGTTTCCATTATTGATAAAATTATATCTTATGTATAATATTTATTTTTATGATTCTTTGTATTTTCTATTTTAAAAATTTTATTATTTGACTATGATATCATTTCATTTTTAGGTTGATTTTAATTTTGGCATTCAATTCTCATCATTTACAAAAATACTTCTTACATTTCATACTTATTTTTGTTTAGTATAATGAATATACAATATTAATGGCATACCCAATTTTTTATTTTTTTGTATTATATATTTTATTTATTTTAATATTTTATTATTTAATTATGACATTATTTATTAATAGATTTGACCCCAAATGGTTGTTTTGCTTACCCACCACCGAGAGGGAAGAATATAGTTTTGTTTTCAAATTATTTTTCAATTTATTTATTTTTATATTATTAAAATTAATGTTGTGGATTTAATAAGAGAATATACATTATATATGAGATTTAATGAGAAATAATAGGAAAATAGTTTTACTTCCAGTTGGTTTTAAATTTTACATTTCATTTCCTTCATTAATAAAACATTTCTTATTTATCATCAATGTTTTCAACCTGTTGTTGACCTGGCCGATTGAACCGTCACTTGCCCTTGGTTTTAGGTTTGGTTCTACTGAAACACCCCATTTTGGTTAAAAAACTGTATAACTTGGGCGATACCATTGACCTTTTCAACCAAATAACTAAGCCGCAAGTTGCACACTTAATTTATGTGCAAACTTTTGGAAGCCATAACTTTGCAATTCGATGTCCAATTGGGGTTATCTTTTTTTTTTTCGTTTTAGTAACTTTTCAAGATTTATACGGCCCAAGGGCATTATGCACAATGCCTCGCTATTTTTGCGAAAAAAAAAACCTTTTTGACCCCAAATTGCAATTTTTAATATTTTTATAAATACAAATTTTAAAACGGAATTAAAAAATATAAATGAATGTAACATGTAGATATATTATATGTAATATATGTAAAACATAATTATAAGCTGTCAAGAAATTTTCTCATTTTTATTTTTTTTTATTCCATGTGATTTTGAAACAACAAATGAGATGCACTTCCCAATCACCTAAATAATCTCTTCTCCTAAAGTTTCTCCTAAACTACCTCCCCAACTTTCTCCAAAATTATCTCTAATTTAGTAGAGAGTTTCTCTCATAAATTATCTCTAATTCCTATTTATCATCTCCCTTACTTTTTATCTATATCTATCTAAATAAATTTTAGATTAAAAAATTTAAAAACTATTTCAATATTCTAACAAAACTACATAATAACTTTAAAATATTAATTAAAAACACAAAAAGTAATTTTATATATTTACAAAATATATCATGAAATTATGTACTAACAATTTAAATTATGTTTATATGGAATGTCAATTTAAATGTTTTTCAAATATTTAATAATATGTAATAGCTTTAAATAAATAAGATTCAAATAACAAAAAGAAAATTAGATATTTTATAGATTATTTCAATATTTAATAACTAAATATTTATCATAACTATATTTTAAATAGTTAAAAAGCGAAATTAACTAATAAATAATTTTGTGTTTTTATAAAATATATCATGAAATTATGTACTAACAATTTAAATTATGTTTTTTTCTGAATAATCAATTTAAATGTTTTTCCAAAATTTAATAATATGTAATAGCTTTAAATAAATAAAATTAAAATAATAAAAACTTTAAATATTTTATAGATTATTTAAATATTTAAATAACTAGATATTTATCATAACTAGATTTTAAATCGTTAAATAACGAAATTATGTAATAAATTTAAAATTTTCTTTAAAGCAAAAAAATAATTATAACATAATATTGAAATTAATAATAATTTAATATATTACAAAATTAGTGATGAAATTATGTAATAATAGTATAAATTATGATATTATGGATAATTAAATTCCATAAATAACTAATATTTCAAAATTTAAATATTTTACATATTATTTAAGTATTTAAATAACTGGGTATTTTAAATAACAAAATATTTAACATAACTAGATTTTAAATAGTTAAAATAAAGAAAAGATGCACTAAATTTAAAAATTTTCTGTAAAGTAGAAAAATAATTATAACATAATATCAAAAATAATGATAATTTAATATTTTTATAGAATTTTGTAAAATAACTAATTTCACTTTTACTAAGTAATAATTCGAGAAAATAACTTTCAAATAAAATAATATTTATTAATAATAATTTTAAACTCTTAATTTGTATTTATTATATAATTATATATGCTAAAATTAATATTTATTATATTTTAGTAATTATTTATCGTTTTTGTSATAAATGTATTTTCAATGATTATGTATAAATTTATTTTGTTTTGTTATTTAATAAAAAACTTTCAATAACTATTGGAGATTAAATTAGATTTAATTTATTGTACTTGTTGTATTTTTGTTATAACTTATTGATTAATATTTATTAGAATTAAACTATTATTT